TGGGGGGGAACCAGGGGCGGACTGACAACTCATGGGGCCCCCGGGCAATAGGGGATCATGGGGCCCCTGTGTCCTTGCCCAAACTCAAAAAAACCCTATGAAAAAGGTACCAGGGGCATCTCATGGGGCCCCTACTGACCCCGGGCCCTTGGGCAGTGCTCGAGTTTCCGAATGGTCAGTCCGTCCCTGGATAACATGCTGGGGGGTTTACTGGCTATAGGAAAAAAAAATGTCTAAAGCCAAAAACATCCGCTGTAGCAATGTCCCGTGTACATGAGGACTAAAAGTCAACTCCACTTACAATTCATAGTTAAATCTGGAAGGGTCACTGGTATGCTGACTTCCTACACAGCTAGATACTCCAAATGGTTTACTTTCCCGGCTGTAGTTTGTGTTTTCCTCACCTCCCCCCAAGGTCACAGTGAGGGAGTAATTGTCCTGCAGCTCGATTCCCCAAAATGTTTATAGTACATGACATCCTCCCGGCTTCCCACACCATGACGGCCTTTCTTCGTGGGCTTTTGTTGGCTCCTGCTTTTTTTTCTGCATAAAAGTCAATGCAAATGCAAAAGCTGCTTAACCCCCCAACCCCCCCCCCCCCCCGATCTCCTGAGGATTTACCGCCCCTTCCTGACCAAGCTATTTTTTTTTTTTTTGCGATAAGGCCAGTGGTGGACTGACCATTTGGAAACTCGGGCACTGCCCGAGGGCCCTGGGTCAGTAGGGGGCCCATGAGATGCCCCTGGTACCTTTTTCATAGACTTTTTTGAGTTTGGGCAAGGACACGAGCCCCATGATCCCCTATTGCCCAGGGGCCCCATGAGTTGTCAGTCAGCCCCTGGATAAGGCAGTACGTTACTTTAACTGACAATTACACGGTCATGCAACGCTGCACCAAAATTAAATTTATGTCCCTTTTTTCCACAAATTGAGCTTTCATTTGGTGATATTTGATGCCTGTGCGTTTTTGTATTTTTATTTTTTTGCGCTATAAAAAAAAAAACGACTGACAATATTGAGAAAAAAAGCAACATTTTTGATTTTTTGCTATTAACCCCTTCACGCCGGCACCTCCCTGCCCTTTAAGGGTTCCAGGAGGCGGGGCAGGGTTTAGAGTCATGTGACCGCTGTGACGCGCCGTCACGGCGGTCACATGATCGGGAAAGGTCCCGATCGAAGGAGCAGATCGGGACCTTTCCGGGAGTACTGGACATGTGTGCAGGGTGCGCGCTCTCGGCACATATGTCCTTTTTTAATAGAACACAAATGTGCGCCGGTCGGCGTCTAGGCCCAGACACCAGGAGGCCGCACATTTGTGTGCGGCCGGCGTGAAGAGGTTAAACATGTCCAGTAAAAAAATTTTAAAAATAAAATTTCTTCATAAATTTAAACCAAAAAAAATCCCAATATGTGTAAATTAATTGGTTTAGGTGAAAGTTATAGCGTCTACAAATGGCGGTATATATACTGGGATTTTTTTATTTTATCATTTGTTTACCAGTAATGGCGGCGATCAGCGACTTTCTCGGTTCACATCTATGCGGCCGTGCGGGGGCCGCGTTTTGCACAGCCCTGAGAGCACATTCATTTGAAACGGACTCCCGTGCCCGTGACATGCAGGGAAGAAGTCCCGGCACTTCTTTGGAAAACGCAGCCGAGGTTCCCAGTACGGTTACATTTTCCAGTGCGGGCGGCGTGCTATTAGAACGAATGGCACCCCCCGCGGGTCCGCATTTCTCTGTGCGGGTGGTGGGGCTGCACGGATTTTCGTGCGTGCGGATTTGCAGCGGCACCACCCACACAGATATGAACCTAGGGTAATAAAGGGACTGCTGCGGGCATTCTGACACTGGGGGGGAACTGACTTGGTGTCACTGACATCCCCAATGACACCAATACAGTGATTTAAAATTTCAATAAAAAAATCAAATTTCATCATAAATGTATTCTGCAACATGTCTTTGCTTGAAAAAAAATCCCAATACGTGTAAATTAATTGGTTTACATCAAATACTTATTTTCGAGAAAAAAAACAATATTTTGGACTTTTTGCTATTATACATGTCCTGAAAAAAATTTTTAAAAAATCAAATGTCGCCAAAAATTTAGGCCAAAATGTATTTTGCTTCATGTCTTTGCTAAAAGAATCCCAATACGTGTCAATTAATTGGTTTACGTGAAATTTTTTTATTGTGTCTACAAATGGCGGTATACTGTATATACTGGTTTTTTTTTTTTTTTTATTACTAGTAATGGCGGCGATCAGCGACTTATAGTGGGACTGCGGTGGGCATTCTGACACTGGGGGGGACTGACTTGGTGTCACTGACATCCCCGGTGACACCAATACAGTGATTTAAAATTTCAATAAAAAATCTAATTTCATCATAAATGTATTCTCCTCCATGTCTTTGCTAAAAAAAAAATCCCAATACGTGTAAATTAATTGGTTTACGTGAAAGTTATAGCGTTTACAAATGGCGGAATATAAACTGTGATTTTATTTTTTATTTTACTAGTAATGGCGGCGATCAGCGACTTATAGTGGGACTGCGGCGGGCATTCTGACACTGGGGGGGAACCAGGGGCGGACTGACAACTCATGGGGCCCCCGGGCAATAGGGGATCATGGGGCCCCTGTGCCCTTGCCCAAACTCAAAAAAGCCTATGAAAAAGGTACCAGGGGCATCTCATGGGGCCCCCTACTGACCCCGGGCCCACGGGCAGTTCCCCACGGGGAACTGACTTGGTGTCACTGACATCCCCAGTGACACCAATACAGTGATTTAAAATTTCAATAAAAAAATCTAATTTCATCATAAACGTATTCTGCAACATGTCTTTGCTTGAAAAAAATCCCAATATGTGTAAATTAATTGGTTTACATCAAATACTTATTTTCCACCATAATCTGCAAATAAATTCTTTCCAAATCAGCCAATGTGATTGTCTGGATTTGTTTTCTCATTTTGTCTCTCATAGTTGAGGTCTACCTATGATGCCAATTACAGGCCTCTCTCATCTTTGTAAGTGGGAGAACTTGCACAATTGGTGGTGACTAAATACTTTTTTGCCCCACTGTATACTGGGATTTTTTTTTTATTTTAGTAGTAATGGCGGCGATCAGGGACTTATAGCGGGACTGTGGCGGGCATTCTGACACTGGGAACTGACTTGGTGTCACTGACATCCCCAGAGGGATTTACCCCCCTTCCCTGACCAGGACATTTTTTGCGCTGAGTTACTTTAACTGACAATTGCGTGGTCATGCAACACTGCACCCAAATTAAATTTATGCCCCTTTTTTTCCACGAATTGAGCTTTTTCGTGGTATTGGATTGCCTCTGCGGTTTTATTTCTTAATAAGCAAAAAAAAAAAGACTGACAATTTTGAAAAAAAAAAATAAAACAATATTTTTGACTTTTTGCTATAAAACCTGTCTAGTAAAAAAATGAAAAAAATCTAATTTCATCATAAATGTATTCTGCTCCGTGTCTTTTCTTGAAAACAATCCCAATACGTGTAAATTAATTGGTTTACGTGAAAGTTATAGCGTTTACAAATGGCGGTATAGATACTGGGAATTTTTTTTTATTTTCCTAGTAATGGCGGTGATTGGCGACTTATAGCGGGACTGCGGTGGACATTCTGACACTGGGGGGAACTGACTTGGTGTCACTGACATCCCCAGGGACACCAATACAGTGATCAGTGTTAATAAAAAGCACTGACAATGTACTAATGGCACTGGGCAGAAAGGGGTCGATCAAAGGGTTAACTGTGTGCTGTTTTACTATGAAGCTGTGTGTGTGTTTAACACCTTGGTCGCACTGGGTACAACTTGGCATGTGATTTGCATGCCCTGCGACTTGCAAATCGCATACCAAGTTGCACCCTATTGTCCGCAATCACATCGGTCATATTTCTATAGTACATGCGCTACTTTTGGTGCGATTTGCGTAGAGATCTGTATCAGATATCTTGCAAATTGCACCTGAAATCGACGTGGCCCTCCACTTTGAAATCGTGTGACTTCACTGTAAGTGACCGGGAGTTTACACTGTAAGCACACTGCTTTGTATGGCTCTGCTGTGCATACAGCCAACTTGACAAGCCCCCCCCCCCCCCCCCCCATTCCCACAAGAAAACACAGTTTACTATGCTTCAATTACGAATGAACACAGTGATTGATTAGTGCCAATCACCCATTGTGTTCCTTCAGGAAAGGAAGGGTCTGGTAAATGTGACATATTTACCAGACCCTTCCCCCACTCTCCATCCTGAAGGATCCTTTTGTGAGCTTGCGGCTGCAGGTGGGAATGAGAGGAGGGAAGCCGAAAACATTACAGGGGCGGGGGTAGCAGGCAGAAATGTATGGTGTACAGGGAGGGTAAAGGGTGCACCCGGGGGGGGGGGCAATTACTGTAACCGATCCCCTGTATGGCTCTCTCTGCAGCAGATGAAAGACAGCGGGAGGGAGAGGGAAGAAGCCGGATTTCAGCTGCTGCAGAGAAAGACATACAGGGGATCGGTTCCAGGAATTGCCCCCCCCGCCATGCCGATCACTCTCCCTGCCCACATCCAATTCACCCAGCTGCCTGGGCCCAGTACAGGAGGACTGGTGGTACCCCTTTATCCACGGCCCTGGCCTCAGGGAACGTCTTCTAAAACCAATTCATTCATAGTGGGAAGAATACCTCTTACTTTGGTGGAGAGAGGGAAAAATGTCCCTTACATTGGTCAGAAGAAGAACTCCCCTTACATTGGTGGTCAGTGGGAAGAATGCCCCTTACATTGGTGATCAGTGAGAAGACTGTCCCTTACATTGGTGGTCAGTGGGAAGAATGTTCCTTACATTGGTGGTCAGTGGGAAAAATGTCCCTTACATTGGTGATCAGTGGGAAGAACGTCCCTTACATTGGTGGTCAGTGGGAAGAATGTCCCTTACATTGGTGATCAGTGGGAAGAATGTCCCTTACATTGGTGGTCAGTGGGAAGAACGTCCCTTACATTGGTGGTCAGTGGGAAGAATGTCCCTTACATTGGTGATCAGTGGGAAGAATGTCCCTTACATTGGTGGTCAGTGGGAAGAACGCCCCTTACATTGGTGATCAGTGAGAAGACTGTCCCTTACATTGGTGGTCAGTGGGAAGACTGTCCCTTACATTGGTGGTCAGTGGGAAGAACGCCTCTTACATTGGTGGTCAGTGAGAAGACTGTCCCTTACATTGGTGGTCAGTGGGAAGAGCGCCTCTTATTATGGTGATCAGTGGGAAGAACGTCCCTACATTGGTGGTTAGTGGGAAGAATGTTCCTTACATTGGTGATCAGTGGGAAGAATGTCCCTTACATTGAGGGTCAGTGGGAAGAATGTCCCTTACATTGGTGATCAGTGGGAAGAATGTCCCTTACATTGGTGATCGGTGGGAAGAATGCTCCTTACATTGGGGGTCAGTGGGAAGAATGCCCCTTACATTGGTGATCAGTGGGAAGAATGTCCCTTACATTGGTGATCAGTGGGAAGAATGTTCCTTACATTGGTGATCAGTGGGAAGAATGTCCCTTACATTGGCGGTCAGTGGGAAGAATGTCCCTTACATTGGAGGTCAGTGGGAAGAATGTCCCTTACATTGGCGGTCAGTGGGAAGAATGTCCCTTACATTGGTGATCAGTGGGAAGAACGTCCCTTACATTGGTGGTCAGTGGGAAGAATGTCCCTTACATTGATGGTCAGTGGGAAGAATGCCCCTTACATTGGTGATCAGTGGCAAAAATGCCCTCCTATTTTTTTATTTTTTTTTTTTTTTGGAAAGACACGGAGCAGAATACATTTTGGCTTAAATTTATAATGAAATTTGATCTTTAAATTTTTTTCACTAAACATGTTTAATAGCAAAAAGTCAAAAATATTGTTTTTTTTCTCAAAATTGTCGGTCAATTTTTTTTTTATAGCTCAAAAATTACAAAACACACAGGTGCTCAAATACCACCGAAAAAAAAATTGTGGGAAAAAAAGGACGTAAATTTCATTTGAGTGCAGCGTCGCATGACCGCTCAATTGTCAATTAAAGTAACGCAGCGCCGTAACGCAAAAAAAAAATGGCCTGGTCAGGAAAGGGGGGAATCCTCAGGAGGGCGAGGGGTTAAACTGTATAGTAGGTCCTTTAAAAGAATGGATGGCCAAAATAATAAGTAGGCAGGTTCTAAAGGGGTCGGCTCCAACAACTTTTTTTTGTTCTTTTTTTTTTTTTTTTCTTAATCTATATATAATTTTTTTCTGGAGTCTTTACATAAGATACCGGAGCGAACATATGAAATTTGGAGGGGGTGTATTAGTTCCTGATTTTCCATCAGGTCACTGTCACCATTACAAAGTAAAAACGACCCATTGATTTCCCAACATCGAGGCGCATCTGCTGTTCTGCAAAAAAGCTATGCAACTTTCCAACCTCACATGACTCCAACATATTTCAGGAAGTTTGTGCAAGTTTATATCTGCTTCTTCCTGTTTTATGTGACATTTATGATCGTCCGGTACAGTACAAATGTAAAACTGTCCGTTAATCACGTAAAAAAGAACCACTTCAGCTCTGGTACCTGCAGGGGCGGACTGACAACTCATGGGGCCCCCGGGCAATAGGGTGTGTCCTCGCCAACACCCAAAAAAAGCCTATGAAAAAGCCAATGAAAGGTACCAGGGGCATCTCATGGGGCCCCCTACTGACCCCGGGCCCTCGGGCAGTGCCCGAGTTTCCAAATTGTCAGTCCGCCACTGGGTACCTGTAAACCCTTTATAAATCAGAACAATTTTTTAACATTTCTGCTTTGGGGCTGTTTATTGGATAATAGTTTCCATTAACCACTTCAGCTCCAGAAGGTTTTACCTCCTTCATGACCAGGCTATTTTTGCTATTCGGCGCTGCACTACTTTAATTAGGAATTGCACGGTCTTGCAATGCTGTACCCAAACAAAATTTATAAAAAAAAATTCACACAAATAGAGCTTTCTTTTGGGGTATTTGATCACCATTTTTTTTTTTTTTTTTATTATATAAAGAAAAAAGACCAACATCTTTGAAAAGAAACAATATTTTCTACTTTCTGTTAGAAAACATATCCGCACAGCTGCATCTTTCATTTGGAGTTCTGTGAATGAATACACTACAAGTACCGACAGCCTTTGCGGCTGACAGCTTGTAGTTCTCAATGAACTATGAGGACCAGCGCTTGTCCTCATAGTTCATTGATTCTTCCTGGACTGAAGCAACTGCTTGACTGTATCAGAGGCAAGGGCAGACAGCTGTACCGACAGTCTGCAGGAGCCTGAGATTGCACCCGCGATCTAGGATCCTAAGAAAAAAAATAGTAAATGCACATTTTTTTTTACCTGCAAAAAAAAGTGCATTCATTCTTTTTTTTTTTTTTTTTTAAGGTGAATTTATCCTTTAAGATAACAAAGTAGTACCTGGTTTTAATTTTTTTTAAGTAGGTCGTCTTTTGGCAATATTGTGTGTTTATTTTCTTTTTAATCTATAGACAAAAAGACATAACAAAATTAAAAATATATGTTTATCTTAATCTATATGTTATGTATACCTTCAGCTGTGTGTGTGTGTGTGTGTATATGTATATATATATATATATATATATATATACTCACACACACATATATATACATATGTGCGTTTTTGTGGGTTTTTTTTTATCTTCAGAAGTGTTATTTTTTATATAGATAGATAGATATGAGATAGATAGATAATGTGTGTGTGGGTTTTTTTTTTTTTTTTTTAACCTTCAGAAGTGTTATTTTATATATATATATATATATATATATATATATATATATATAGATATGTGTGTGTGTGTGTGTGTGTGTGTGTGTGTGTGTTTTTGTTTTGTTTTTTATCTTCAGAAGTGTTATTTTTTAATGTATTTACCTGTACATAAAAAGTATATTTTATTTCATATTTTTTCCTGCTTTTGGCAAACCAAAATTATTTGCAAATGAAAAAAGTTATTTTTACTATTGCATATTTTCTGTGTCACAGTAAAACAAAACACACACATACACCAAACTGAACAAAAAAACCTAACAAATCAAAATGAAAAAAAATATATATATTAATGGTAAAAAGTATGAATGATAGAACCCTCCCATACATGACAGTTTGTAAAGTGCTGACAGGTGGAACAGTGAAGATGTATATATTTCTTGTTGTATATGCTAAAAAACCTCAAGCATTATCTTGGCTTATGTGATTTTATACAGTTTTTTAAATAATAAATGAAACTTTTTTTTATGATTTGGAGTGTAGGTGTAGTTTATTATTGCAGCACCTGAAAGTCCCAGGAATTTTGTTTTAATAATGTTCTTACAAATCAACTTTTTTTTTTTTTTTTTATTGATAATGGAAAGATAATGGTGACAATTTCTTAAGATTCCAAAAAAAGACTTTTATTCTTTCACTTCATATAACAGGGACCCTTTGCAGTTTTTACTGCTGGCCATTTGCCAGGAAAATAATCTGCTGGGGCTTGTCAAAGCTTTCTGCCTACGCATGTCAGTATTTCCTCAGTCACAGTGATTCATCCTCAGTTTGCCAAACTCATGTCTGCCAGCTCTCTGGGCTGGTCCCTTGGCTTCCCATCTTGCACATGATTACGCGTGCCTAAAGTCATATGCTATACATTACTGCAAAAGCCGTTTTCTATTCTTAAAAGTCCCAGACTTCAACTTTGAAATATTGTTTGTACAAATGAATATTTTACAGTCTGCAGGTGGCACTCTAGGCATCTTTCACATATTTTCCTTTATCTGCTCCTTTGTTTTAAAAGGTTCATTGTGTACAGCTGAGTTTCTCAGCTAGGGTTCCATGGAACCCAATGTTTCCTCCGGAGGTTGTTAGGGGTTCCTTGAGCAATGAACAGCTTCTGCCTCTCAGACAAGTTCCCACTGATACTATTCATCTTGTTAGCTATCTATAAGAGTTATTATTCCCAATGACCACAAGCGTGAGGAGCATTCTTCCCAATGACCACAAGCGTGAGGAGCATTCTTCCCAATGACCATAAGCGTGAGGAGCATTCTTCCCAATGACCACAAGCATAAGGAGCATTCTTCCCAATGACCACAAGCATAAGGAGCATTCTTCCCAATGACCACAAGCATAAGGAGCATTCTTCCCAATGACCACAAGCATAAGGAGCATTCTTCCCAATGACCACAAGCATAAGGAGCATTCTTCCCAATGATCACAAGAATAAGGAGCATTCTTCCCAATGACCACAAGCATAAAGAGCATTCTTCCCAATGAC